CCAGGAGGGGCAGGAGAAGATTAAAATAAGACTTTAAGCCGACAGCGAATCGTTGTGTGCTGAAGAAGGTGGGCAGACGGAGCGAAAGGAGGGAGGTGAGGCAAGCTGTTGCCTCCTCGGGATCGTGGAAGATGAGGCGAGTAAAAACGGCCGCCAAGGAATCCATTCCCTGAAATGAGTGTTCACAAAAACATTACTGATTTCTAGCGAGTAGGCCTTTATAACTATCACCAGCCTTAGGTCAGATTCGGCAGGCAGCGGGGGGGGGCCTGGAGGCAAAATGTACTAACCTGAGTGTACTCAAATCGTCCGGCGTTAGAAATCAGAGTGGCGATAAGAACTGAACGCAGACGGCTTTGACCAAGCGGAGACGCCATCAAAGGGTCGTAGGCATGACAACGCGGCAGATCCACTGCAATCTGGCTTAACGCCTTCTCCGAGAGGCCAGAAAGGAGGGCCGTGGTTGCCGATGGTTTGCTTGCACGTTGGCGACACGGCTGCGAGGAGGGTTGTGACTGAAGAAGAGTCATGGAGAGTGCAGCGGGTATATGCTCCGATTTTCGATCTCCCGCGCCGAGTAGCGCTGTCCAAACCTTAAAAATATAATTTTATGTAGATTGAAACATAAGAGTGCATACACATTCGCGCCATTAGAGCTGACTTAAATAGCTCCTGTGAGTTGAATTCGCGTAAAAGGGCGTGATGAAGCATTAGACAAAATATGCAATAGTGTTGCAATAAGGATTAAAATTTAATTGGAAATTATAGCACCAGTAGACGTAAGTTTGGGAAAATTAACAACGAGTACGCGTTCGATTGAAGTAAAGAACACCGCACCAGTAATAAAACTCCTTAAATATTATTTTTAGAAGCAAAATAAGACAGAATGAACTTAGAAGGACCTCAGTACAGTTTTGACGATTTCATATCCCCATAGGGTGCCGGTTGATCGACGTCGACTACGTTGACGACATAATCAAAACCTAACATTTCAGACGGACGAAGTCGGTAAATCGGTCCTCTGTTCTTGGCTTATGCCGCAATTAACTGTATTTCCGACAAGAAAAGGAGACTTCTCATGGATCTGACCTTTAGCAGCCAGAAAGGGCCACTTTCAAATGCCTCGGGGTTGAGTTTTTGTCAAAGGGAAAGAATAAGTACGAAATCGTGACGTGGACATTTGCGCTGGACCAACCTGGCGACACATTAGAGCTTATTTGGATTG